CACTAATGCACACTCTCTTCCTTTCTCTCACCCTCCTAGTTTCCTCACCCTCACCTTCTCACCTTCACCTTTTCTTGAATTCCAGCCAGTTTGATGTAGTTGCACTACAACACATGCATCAGAGGGCCTTTGCGAGAAGTGGCTGTGACAGTGGGGGGTGGGGTGGGGGGCAGCATTTCCATTTCTCTTCAAGAGCCAGCCTGCTGACAGTGAAGCTGTGGAGTCAGCTGACCACCCCCGGCCACTGCCCCTCAGGATCCACTCTTGCTCGGCAGCTCCCAGCCCGTTCGAGCTTGGGGATACCAGAGGCAGGCCATTCCTGCCCGGTTTGGTTTCCTCTGATGGGCAGGGCAGTCTCTGCTCTGGGGCTCTCCTATCAATTGCCCTGCATGCTGACAATGCCATCCAGTCCTTCTTTCCCTTCTATCCTTACCCTCAAAGATGCAGACCAGCATTGTGGTTTGAGGCTCTCCCCAATTCTGTCTTGTCATCCGCTTCCCAGAGGACCTGACCTGACACAACGTCTAACGTACAGGGCATAGAATAAAGGTTCTAGAGATGTTAGGTGTTAGTGTTATAATACCAATTGGATTTGATAAAACTAATAACTTCACTAACAGAAGACACTTGTAGAGGCACATATTCTCATGATGACCTGATCCAAGAGTCCTCAGTAGACTCTTAGGCCTTGCCTAGCCTGTATCCATTTCTCTGCCCCTGTGGCACTATTCCAAGAAGAACATTCTGCTCTTTCTAATGCTTCACTGTGTGAAGAGAATTTCAAAACCACTAGAGGATTTGGTGAAAGCTACAGAATTAGCTGGAAAAATGGGCCTCCACAGCCCTTTGTCTTGGCAAGAACAAACACCGTGGTCCTAAGAGCCTTCTTAAACCAAGTATTGATGAAAGCTACCTTCATTAAACAACAGAGCCTTTCCCAGGGGAGTTCTGTGTGAAGTCATTATGGTCTACCTAGCATGTGGATTCCTGGTGCACACGGGACATTGATTAGTCTTACTGAGGGAAATGATGGTCAAGGCAGCAAGGGAAACACATAAGGGTCTCTGAACACACCCAATCAATCTGCAGCCCTAAAGCATGTCCATTAGAGCAAAACCCTTTTCAGTGACAGGTTCCACAAATACTGTTGAAAACCCTGTGATGATGACAGCTATAAACTCCGTTCTCCTGAGACCTATGAGGCTGGTTCTGATTCAGTGACCACAGACTTCACAGAGCAGCTATCAACGGTATGATAATGGTTTGTGATAAAGGTGCTGTTGATGTTCTGCTGAAAGCAGCAGAGAAGCAACTGACGATCAACAGCAATTAGGTGCTTAATAAAACTGCTTTGGAGATGCTGCTGCTTGAAAAGATTGTCATGGGTGGCGCAAGGGACTCAGCAATCAATCCCAATGAAGCCCGTGCCTATCTTTCTTTTTGAAAGCACTTCTTCCATCAAACACAAACTGTGAGACTTTTGCTGCCTCCGAAGGAAGGAAAATCAACTTTGATCTGATTAGTCACATAAAAGCCTTGGGCACAATAATCACCTAGGCAGACCCTGGACACACTTGAGTCAAGGGTGAGACCGGGGAGAGGGCAGAAGAGGAAAATCCCAGCGAGGCCTGCAGGTTTCACCCAGTCTATACAGCCAACGGTGACTGGGTTTCGGCATGGACTTCTGTAACTATAATTTGTGTGTTGCTAATAAAATAACCTAGAAAGGGCAGAGGAGACAGCCATCACAACCCTACACTCACCACCTTTCAGGAGGGGGAAATTATTTCAAACTACTAGGCAAAACAAAAGGGATTGTAGTTACCTATCTCTAATTCTAGGTTGATACACCTTTTGTACCAGAAAAAAATACTGGCTTGAGGACATGACAGACTTGGGCCTGTGCCTGGTTCTGAGCCTTCCCTAGCTGTGTGGCCATGGGCAAGTTGCTTCTCTTGGAGACTTGGTTTCCTCATCTGGAAAGCAGAAATAAGAATAACTACCTGACAGGGTTTTGTGAGACAAAATACCAACATGTATGTGAGAGGCCTCAGCATCTTGTCCTTATAGATTTAAAATCAATTCACAAAGCTTAGCCTGATCTGTTTCTCTACCCCTGTGGTATCATTCCAAGAAGATCATTCTACTTTTTCTAATGCTTCACTGTGTGGAGAGAATTTCAACTATCATATCACATGTGACAGATGTGCAGCCCAGACAGCAAAACTGCTGGCCTATATTTATCATTAGCCTTAAGAAATAAAAAGAAGAGATTTTTTTTTTAATATTACAGTTGTAAAATCTCACTCTAACATTAAACAGTTTTGGAAATATCATTAAAAAACAGAAGATGGCTGGGTAACTTCATCATAATAATAGCTAATATCTCATTATTAATTACTTCATTATTACTTCAATATAGACACTATTTTAAGTAATCTATATCGATTGCTTCATTTAACTCCCAAACTACTCTATGCGGTAGGAACCATTCGTCTCTCTCTCCCACCTTACAGATTAGAAAACTGAGGCACAGAGAAATTTTGTTTGCACAAGGTCACACAACCTGTAGGTTAACAAAGACTAGTCGCATCTACAGGCACTTTGATTTCCAACCCTGTGTTCCCACAATTATGCCAAAGATGGGACTTCTAGAGTGGCTACTAAAGTTCTATTTCCTGACCTGGGTGGTGTTTGCTGTACATTTTATTCATGTGATCTTCTGAATCAGTTTTATACTATTAAAAAAGCATTTTAAAGTAATAATACTAGTAGCTAAAATTTTGCCACTCAATGCTCTGGGCAAAAATGGATGTGTTTTGCAACCATAGGCACAGAATTATGGTTCTATAACATTGTAACATTTGTCTCTCAGGGCACCTGGCTGGCTCCTAGGAAGAGTGTGCAGCTCTTGATCTCAGGGTCATCAGTTCGAGCCCCATGCCAGGTGCAGATATTACTTACATAAATAAAACTTAAAAAAATATATTTGGGGCGCCTGGGTGGCGCAGTCGGTTAAGCGTCCGACTTCAGCCAGGTCACGATCTCGCGGTCCGGGAGTTCGAGCCCCGAGTCAGGCTCTGGGCTGATGGCTCAGAGCCCGGAGCCTGTTTCCGATTCTGTGTCTCCCTCTCTCTCTGCCCCTCCCCCGTTCATGCTCTGTCTCTCTCTGTCCCCCAAAAAAATAAATAAAAACGTTGAAAAAAAATTAAAAAAAAATATATATTTGCCTCAGTTGCTTAGGACAGTGGCACAGAAGAACATGGAAATTGAATTTTCATTTTGTGGTCTTAGGTGGTACTTGGTCACCAGAGTCCATTGGAAATGGGGAAATAGTATAAGGAGAGTAATTTTTATTTTGACATGCTGAATCACTGTCTGCCTTGACTATATTTTTCTCAACATTCATTTGCTTGTCTTTTCATGTATTTGTTCTTAATTTCTCTTGCTCATACTTTCTCTTTCTCCTTCTCTTTCTCTTGTCCCTTTCTCTTCTTAACCTCAGATCCACACCCTTCTGGTTCCCTTCTCCGTGCCTCTCTCTCCTTTTCTTTTTTCTTTTCTTTTCTTTTCTTTTCTTTTCTTTTCTTTTCTTTTCTTTTCTTTTCTTTTTTAATGTTTATTTATTTTAGAGAGAGAGACAGAGACAGAATGTGAGTGGGGGAGGGGCAGAGAGAGAGAAAGACAGAATCTGAAGCGGCTCCAGGCTCTGAGCTATCAGCACAGAGCCTGATGCGGGGCTTGAACCCACCAAAGTCAGACTTAACTGACCTGAGCCAGAGTGGGACTTAACTGACTGAGCCACCCAGGTGCTCCCTTTTTTTTTAATACATAAATCATTTCTTGTTGGTCTTATTTATTGAATATTATGATGGATTGCTTAGTCTTCATTAAAAAGTATTGAATAGATTATATACAAACTTCAATTAATCCTGCTGACTTAAGTTTCCATTGCCACATGTACTCCCTGATTGACTTCTATTTCAGTAGCTTAATGGTTCCCAGTTATTAAAAACCTTTTGTACCTTAAGAAAGCTTAGGACTGGAAAGGTTAACATGTTATGGCCTAAGAAGAAAATAAAGTATATGAGCATAAGTTGCCCAAAGTAATCCGCTTTCTCCTCACATACTACTTGCTTTTCACTCTCTTGTAGACACCCAACAGAGAAATCACATGCCAGGGATGTTTCTTAGCCTATGATGCAATGGAGCTTAGTCTTGCCCATTAAGGAGATCTGTGAACACTGAGAGACTCCAGCGCTTTATGTAAGGATGGGCCCACAAAGGCTGGGAGTGGCCAGAAAGATCATCCCCTGAGCCAAGGATCCCCTCAACTCCAGAACTAATTTGTGCACTAGGACATGACTCAAAAATCTTATAACCAGGCAGAAAAGTATGTATGTGTGTGTGTGTGTGTGTATAAATTTATATATACATAAATATATATATACTTATTTTTTTAATGTTCATTTATTTTTGGGAGAGAGGGAGAGAAAGAGCATGAGCAAGGGAAGGACAGAGAGAGGGAGACACAGAATCCAAAGCAGGCTCCAGGCTCAGACCTGTCAGCACAGAGCCCAATGTGAGGCTTGAACCCATGAGCTGTGAGATCATGACCTGAGCCAAAGAAAAGTTGCCCCCAGAAGGGTGTATTTTAAAAAATCCCCTTCTCTCTGCTAAAGAGACACTTGCATTCTTTATTCAACAGCTGTATATAGGGTGCTCCTCAGTGTAGTACATATCATCTTCCCACCTGCTTAAGTACTAGGTACTCTAGCCCTTCCCTAATCAACATGGTCCACAGCAGATTCTAAGAATTCCATGGGGCCCTGCCTTCCCCCGAACCTTGGAAATAAAGACCCATCACATGGCACCTTTGTAACAAATCCCAGTCCCCATCTCCCACTTCAGGTTCTAAGACTTCCTGGACCCTCTGGGAAGTCACAGCCTGATCGGTACCTCGGACAGTTCCACTATATCCACTGGGGAGCAGCATATACCTGTTGGATTGTTCTGTAAGCAGGCTGGGGTCCTTCATCCTTAACCTCTTCCTCCGGTCCTGAGAACACTATTTCTTCTTCCTCCTCCTCACTTTCTCCAGAACAGGAATCAAATGCATCAGCATAATATTCTTCAGCCACAAGCGGGTCTTCTGGGATGTCTGAAATAAAGAATAAACAGCAATCAAGTCCTACCAGTCATTAAAATTGTAACAAATCTAGGATCTCCTATATTTTCCCAGAGATGTATATTATGTTTGTGCTGATAAAGCTCTCAGGAGGGTAGAGCTGAATCTTAGCTTCCTGAAAGTATCTGGTTGAATGTAATAAATACTCAGCAAAATTAAACCCGTAAAGGAAAGGAGGAATGACTCTACCAGCAACCATATTTTGAAGGTGGAAGAATAAAGCCATGAAACAAGGAGAAATGATCTCTTGGAGGCATAAATCTTTATTACAAAGGAGGGGATGTAGGAGCAGAAGCAGGATGAGATGCCTTGCCTGCAGGGCTCTCTTACACACCCACACAAAAACTTCTGCAGAGGCAGCCGGAGTAGAACCATGACAGCACTCTTCCTGGGAACTTCTTTTTTAAAGAATAAGTGGTGAGACCAGGTAAGATGCATAGGATATATAGGAATGGCATTTTGGCAAGCTGGGGAAAACATTACGGTTCTTTTTTAATAGGCTATGAAGGCTTGTGAAATGGTGTTCACTCTGGGACCCTGCTTACTTACATCTATATGTGGCATTTATTGTTTTTAAAAAGGAAGGATCACTCACTTAAGTTGATGCCAAGAAGTGACTACCTAAGTTACATGATGCAATGTTATTACTAACTAAAAATATAATCGGTGTTTATAATGGTTTTCAACCAAGAAAGGCCAAGACTGGATCACAAAAAAACATAGTGATATCAACTCCAATTTACTAACGAAGGCCTAGAAGTAGGGAAATATCCTCGGGGAAAGGAGCAAATTACAGAGTGACACCCCACCATATTAAAACCATGGGCATTTTAGGCTCTGCACCATTGTCTGATTTATAAACAAAATAATTCTTCTAAATAAATTCTTCTAAATCATAACAAACAGCACTGTTTTTCAACCCACTGTTGCTACTCTGTGTTTCTTGGGGGGGAAATATGGAATTTGGCGTCAGAGAATCAGGTTGGAATCCGGCTCTACTGCCTCTTACAGGAGAACCTAGACAAGGTATTTGAACTTACTGAGCTCCAATTTCTCCAGTAAAACTGGCATAAGGGTAACCTGGCAGGGTAGCTGGGAAGATTCAGTAATATGATTCTTATGAAACCACTGTATACAGGGAAGCTTTATAAAATGTTCACTCAATTTCCACATCTGTAAAAATGGACTTTTCATTAAGTGATTCCAGAATCCTCTGGAAGTAGGATACTTAGTAGAGGTAGAGTTCCCTGATAGTCTGACAGCGGGGTACTTTAAAATCTTCGCTAACTATGGTTTCCCATAAAACACAAGAGGCCAGTGCCATGACCTCAAAATTAACTCAAAATACAAAAATTACATATATTAAAAAACTGTCTTTGCCAATTCCTTAGGAAGGGGCACACTGGGGCTCCCATACTTCTGGTAACTCCAACACAGACTGTTTTCCCTTTAGATCACTGGTTTTCTGTTGAGCAGCAAATGAAATAGATTATTTGTATATGGGAGCCATGTTTTATAAAAATCTTGACTCAACTCACACTCAGAATGGCTTGAGGAGTAGATGAAGCATATATGAAATATATGAGCAAGGTAAGTATATGAAAACTAATAGCTCCCAAGTAGATAATTCAAGTCTCTAGTTTTGTCCTCAAGTAGGGGCATTTCTCACTGAATGGAATGGTAGACAGGACCACACGACTTCCCACCTCTGTTCCTCCCCCTCCACCTCTCCCTCCATCTCTGCATCTCTTTCATAGACTTGCCCACTCTGTCTTCTTCTTCCCACCTCCTCCTATTTCCTCTCCCTCTCCCCCCAGAGGCTCTCTGTCTCTTTGACAGTTATTCATTCATTTATTTATTCCTATTTTTCTCTTTCTTTCCCTCTATTCCTCATCTCCTCCACGTTAGGCCAGAATATTTGCTTTCAAATTTGACTGTGACACAATAAGAATATCATTTACATTGTTTCCCAGTACACAGAAATGTGCTTATATTTGTGTATGAACATGAATATATTTGTAGTTGAAATGAAAGTTTCATGCATCCAGATTTACCCTTACTAAATATGACAATTCTGGTCTTTCATGTTCTATTCAAGAAAACTGTTTTAAATGCTAGTTGCAACTTGTTGATTTCTCACCACACAATTTGAAAAACACTAGTTTAGAATGCTGGCTTTGGAATCAAAAAAGAGCTGCATTTAAATCAAGGCTCTAATATCAGCTCTATACCAGCTCTATTCCTGCCCTTCAGCTTTCTCATCTGTAAAATGGAGATGATAATGCCCATCTCTTAGAATTGTTGAGAACATTAAATAGTATAATGGATGCAAAGCACCATGCACATTATGTACCCAGTAAATGTCATTACTAACATTTACCATAAAACTCTGTACACGTTTTGCCTGTAATACACAACACCAGGAAGAAACAGAAATATTGGACAATCACAAATATATACACAAAATAGAATCACTTCTCAAAATCCATACTGTACCCAACTCAAATGGGTAATAAGGCAAAAGGCCAAATCCCACAGCCAAATGGTTCTCTTGATAAATACTGAGCCCCACCTCCCATAACATGACTCCTTGTGCACAGAGTCTTGGTCTTAGAGGAAAGATTCCCTCTCTTACCAAGGATCCCCTCCCAGGAAGGAGAGGAAGGAAAGAAATGGTAAGGAGGAAAGTGCCCTCTTGCCACTTGTGCCTAAGTCATAAAGCAGACGGGGATGAATTCATCTCCAATATTTCTGAAATGAGCACCACTATCTTGGTACAGCTCAGAAAAGAGATCATTTTCAAAAGGAAAAGTCAAAAGAAATGTAAGTCTGCTCAAACTGTGTTTGACAAGCTGTGTGTTTTTCTTATGCAGGCCCAATTTGAAGCCTTGTTAGGCTAAGGCTCATTTCTCCTGTCATTGAGGGAAAATGGTCTGTGATAAATAGCTTTAATTTCCTCACACCCTGAAGTCAGCCTCATAGCAGATGCACTGGAGCAGCATTCCAGATCTCTACTAGGCTGGGTGGGCAGCGACAGTGTGTTTATGAAGGAATCCAGTTGTGGCTGCCTGAACTTGGGCACCGTTGTTACAGATCCGTGCTGGAGAAAAAGAGAAGCAATCACCCTGTTCCATGAAAAGGAGGCTCTTTGCCAGACCCTTCGATTAAGGCCCTAATAAATCCCTTTCTCTAAGACTTAAGTGAATATCAGGACCACCTGCAGGGCCTGTTAAAACACAGATCACTAGGCCCCACCCAGTTGCTGATTCAGTAGGTCTGGGGTGAGGCCTGAAAATGTGCATTTTGAACAGGTTGCCAGGGGATGCTGGGGATGCTGGTCTGGGGCACAACGTCCAAACTGTTGCTATAGGATGTGACTTTTCAAATAAAAGTACTATCATATATTATTATATAGAAGCACTATAATAGAATATGGAAGACTACATCTTCCAACCTTATATGTTATAGACCAAAAAAATGAAGACATAAGCTTTACTTTAGAAGAGTTCAAATTGTTGTACCATTAGCTGTCACGATCTCTGTGGAGTTGTAGGGCACTCTTCTCATTTTTACTGATGGAGAAGAACAAAGCTGTGAGTGAGCAGTCCAAAGTTAAAGCACTTTACAGTTTGCAAAAGCACATTCACATCCATTATCCCATTTAATCATTGCAACAGTTATTCAAGTTAGACCAGGACATTTTTATCATTTTTTTTTTGGATAATGAAAGTGAAGCTCAGGCAGGCTAATAACCAATTGAAAGTCACAGAGCTGTATGCAGGGTGGACACTAGACCAGAACACAAATAACCTGAATCCTATCTTTTTTCCACCGAATTGGTGCTATTTCATGGTTAGCTAGGAACGTTCGTCTTCGTTAGTAAAACCATGTCATGGATAAAAGGTGTGATTGTCTTCCCCCATCGCTCTGAAAGATGTTGGACAAGGGATAGGCTTTCCACTTAGGAGACGGGAAAACTGAAACACTTAGTCATCCTGGTAAAGTGTCTGAAAGGAGCTGGGAATATTGAATGCCAAGGGCTCTCCCTCAGACTCAGCCCAACTGTCACTACCCTCAACCTCAGATGTGCTCAAACTGGAGTGTGCACTGGGATTGCATGGAGGCCTGTTAAAACAGATTCCTGGCCCCATGCCCAGTGTTTCAGATTAAAAAACTGATGGTCTGGGCAGGGGTTTGGGGGGGGAGGTGGCAAGAAGTCTACATGATGCTGCTGCCACATCTTGGAGAACCATTGCTCTACCTTACAGGACCTTCAAGGAGAAAGTGACACACAGGTGTAATTGTTGAATGTGAATTTCCCTAATACTTCATCTATTATTGTACCAGCCCTTTAAACTTCTCAAATGATCAGAAAAATTCACTAAAGAATTTATTTTTTATTTTTTAAGAATTTTTTTAAAAGAAGTAATAACATAAGAACTTTGCCTAAAGTCAAAGCCTCATTTCCTTTAGAGGAACTTAGTGATGTGGAAGGAATACCTCAGCCTGTGCACCTACCACCATGCTGAATGATTCTAACCATCTGTATGTCTTGAGTAAATGCATGTCATGAGTTTAGCACAATGGTTCTCAAACGGTGTTCCCCAGAAGAGCAGCAACAACATCACCTGGGATATTACTAGAAAAGCAAATTCTCAGGCTTCCCAGACTTGCTGAATCAGAAACTGAAGGAAGTGTCCAGCAATCTGCATTTTAATAAGCCCTCCAGGGGGATCCTGATGCAAGCCTAAATTTGAGAACCACAAATTTCGCACAATGACTGGCACTTTCTGCTCAAATAAAAATAGCTTCTACAGATATCCCCAGTTGATAAGCTCTTGGGAGGCAGGAGCCAAGATGGTCCTGTTCCCCATGATTTCTCAAACCCATGGCTCAAAGCAGACACTCCAGGATGCTCTGGTTTCTCTTCAGATCTAGAAATCTTTTGCCTTTTCAAAGCAGACACTCCAAAC